CCTTGCTTTCAATACTTATATTAAGAAAACAGTTTTTTCCAACTATAGAGCATTAGAATATTGAATTTGCTTTTAAAGCCATGTGCCTCCTCCTTCGTTTCTCCATTTGAGCTTAACTGGACAGTAGATAATAGGGAGGACTGTCAGGGTTCAACTTATCAGCTTACTAACAGTAGTAATTTTTGCAAATTTTTATTTGAGCACTTTATTGCTTACTATTTGTCATACAAACTTGGGGTAAAATACCTGACATTTATTATCCAACCTTATTGCAGCACTCGAGGGAGATATTATTGTCTTTATTTTACAGATAAAGAAAAGGAGACCCTCGGGGCCAACCCCATGGCTTAGCGGTTAAGTGTGTGCTCCGCTACTGGCGGCCCGGGTTCGGATCCCGGGTGCGCACCGTCGCACCACTTGTCCGGCCGTGCTGAGGCAGTGTCCCACATAGAGCAACTAGAAGGATGTGCAACTGTGACATACAACTATCTACTGGTGCTTTGGGGAGAAAAAGGGAAAAAGAGGAGGAGGATTGGCAATAGATGTTAGCTCAGGGCCGGTCTTCCTCAGCAAAAAGAGGAGGATTGGCATGGATGTTAGCTCAGGGCTGATCTTGCTCACAAAAAAAAAAAAAAAAAAAAAGCAACGGAGGCCCAGACAGGTTGTCCTTTAGTTGATAGCCAGTAAATCTTTGTTGAGTGAATTAGTAAACTCTCTTCCTGATACTGCATATTTATGTACCTGTTCTTTCCATGTTCTTCATTTGTGTGGGGATGGGGATGCACACGTAATGCAGTTGTATATTTCAAAGGGCCGGAGTTGGTAAGAAGCTCTTTTAAAAAGTGGGAGGACTAGATAAGCTGGGGCCTTAAATGTGTGGAAAAAGAGCATAATGATAGAAAAGGAGCCAGCCTAATGTGAGTTAAGAGCAATTAACTCAAAATTAAGAGGGATTAATTTGGAGTTCAAGTTAGAAGGAATATCAGTTGCATAAGAGTGACTTGGTGAGCTTCTTAAAAATACAGATTCTTGGGGCCAGCCCCGGGATCGAGTGGTTCAAGTTCCGTGAGCTCCACTTTGGTGGCCTGGGTTCGCGGGTTCGGATCCTGGGCGTGGACCTGCACCACTAGTCAAGCCATGCTGTGGTGGCATCCTGCATACAAGGTGGAGGAAGATTGGCACAGATGTTAGCTCAGGGCTAATCTTCCTCAAGCAAAAAAAAAAAAGGAAGATTGGCAATGGATGTTAGCTTAGGGCAAGTCTTCCTCAACCGAAAAAAAAATACAGATTCTTGGTCTCCATCTCCTGAGATGATTGAGTGAAGTTGAGGTGGGGCTTGGGATTTGTCCTTTTTTTTTTTGTGAGGAAGATCAGCCCTGAGCTAACATCTGCCAATCCTCCTCTTCTTGATGAGGAAGACTGGCCCTGAGCTAACATCTGTGCCCATCTTCCTCTACTTTATGTGGAACGCTGCCACAGCACGGCTTAACAAACGGTGCATCAGTGCGTGCCCGGGATCCGAACCTGGGCCGCCAGCAGGGGAGCGCGCACACTTAACCGCTACGCCACGGGGCCGGGGTCGGCCCCTTGGGATTTGTACTTTTGCAGAGTTTTAGAGGTGATTCAGATGAACAGCTAGGCTTTGAAACTTGTATGTAGGTAACCAAAATTAAAGATCTAACAAAGGGAATTTAAGGTAATTTTAATGTGGAAATTAGGAGGAATCAAGAAATAGGCTTAGAGTGTTGGGAAGAGTATTTTCAACGTGAATTTCCAATCTTGATAGACACCCAGCTAGAAAGAACTATGTAGGTATAACACAGTCCTAATTGGGTGAAGGGGGGATATAGGGGACTGAGAGTCCACACATGTATTTAAAAAAAAAAAGCTGAACTATGAGTGTACACTCTATTAGTAATTTGTTTTAAGTTTGTTCATTCATAAATTACTGAATGAGTATCTACTGTTCACGTCCTATGTAGGGAATAGGTGGCAGAGACAAATGAGGGATGGTAACGTTATAAAGAAGAATTCTGTTTAATAAATCCCTTGGATGATTTCAGCAAAAGAGACTGCTATTAAATTGTGGGCACCTTCTGTTTTTTCCCAATGGGAAATTTCTCTGTGGCAGTTCACCCTAGTTCAACAAACGTTTATTGTGTCAGATGCTATGCTCATTACTAGGTGTTCAGACATAAATAAGAGACAGTCCTTGGTCTGGAATATGTTATAGTCTTAGTGGGAGAGATGGGGGGCACATGGACAGATGCTTTCATTATAATGTAGGAACTATTTTACAGTGATGAAAGAGTCAGATTTTAAAAATATTTAGACTATAAAATTGGTAAGAATTGGTGAATAATTGAATGTTGGGGGGTCAAGAAGTCATAGAGTGATTCCCAGATTTCTCGTGTGGGTGACTGGATGAGGATGGAGTAACATTAACTCAGAAATACAGAATTAGGAACATAAGTGTGTGAAGGGTGAGGGGAAATCAGTTTGTTTTTCAGTATGCTTAATATGACTCTAAGATATCCATGTAGAGCAGTATAGCATAGTGGGAAGGTGTTCCAGCTCAGGAATCAGACTTATGACATAGGGTCATAACTGTTCTCTTCCACTTACTAGCTGTTACTAGCTGTTTGATATTGGGACATTTAACTAACCTCTCTAAGTCTCAGTTTCTATGGGGATAGTAATAGTACCTAACACACAGGAGTTGTGAAAATTAAAAGAAATAATGTATATTAAGCACTTGTCATAATTCTGGGAATATAGTAAGACCTCAATATGGTGTCTGGAAGTATTATTGTTATTATATGTATAACAGACAGTGTGAACTCAGGAGAGATCAGAGCTGGACATATAGTTTGGGGAGTTGTTAACACATAGGCTAAAATAGTGACAGTGGATAAGATTGCCTGTAGAGAATGGAGCCCTGAGGAATAATAGTAATGAATAGGGGTTGGGCAAAAGAGGGTTAAAATCCGAATGAAAAGTGGTATGATTGTTTTGAACGTAGATAATTATGTGCCTTGTAGAGAAATTATTATTTAAGGCTTATGATTGGAGCACAACAGGAAATATGTATGACCTTTTAAAAATCCACACATTAAAAAACTTTATGTGGACTTTCTTTAAAAAGCAAACTTACTATTTAATTAAATAGTAAAATCAGCCCTTCCCTTTTTAAACTACTTGCCAATATGCTTTTTTGTCTTCTCTGAATAGCTTTCTGAAGTGCTGCAAAATGATGTTGGCATGAATGTTTGCTTGAGTAGTGTTGATACTTTATGATAATCTTTATTTCCATATATATTCATTAATTCTCTTTTCTTTAAAGCCGTTAACAGTCTGTTGTGATGGCTTCAGGAAATAAGGCTGGTGAGATTTACATTACGGTAATTGCTATCGGTTGCCTATAGTGTCTTTACAAGCAAGTCTGGCACAATTGAAGAGGAGTAAACAGTAGTTGATCCCATTGTTTTAAAAGTGTTTAAATTTGTTTTGATTCGAAGTGTGTGGTGTAATGAAGCTAGGTTTTTATTTAAGGAAGAAATAGTCCTAAACAGTGAAATAAATGTTGTGCTGACCTCCAAGAGAAATCTTCATTCAGGTTTATAAGAAGGAAGTATTCCTGTTGTCTTAAAGGACAATGTGTGATGATCTGACAGTTTTTGTATGTCAAATCAACTGTCAGGCCTGAGCTATATAAATTAGATCATATCTCTAAGTTTCCAGAGGAAAGTGTTAAAACTCAGTTCATTGCCTTACCCATGCAAATAAAGTTTTGTATCAAAAACAAATATTTTAATTTTACATTTAAATTTTAACTTCTTTAAACAGGTGCTGTTATAAGCAAAAAATTGTCTATGGAATTAAATTTCTTGAGGAGGAGCTAGTTAGCCTTTTAAATGGTAGTTATTAATTATTTTGGAAATCATAATTTCATAATGAGGAGCATTTTTTCCTTCAGTTTTAGTAAGGGAAAAGAAAATATATGTGGGGGGAGGTATAGAATTAATGAGATAATGGTTAGCTGTCTGGTTTTGAAGACATACCACAATTTAAAGAACTATCTACAATCTGCTGCTATTGCTGTGGACTAAAAATTTTAAATTAGTAATGGTTATTTTACTTTTTTCCCTCTCATAAGAATGGATAGCAATAAAGACTGTCTTTTCAAAACAGTAGTCTCCTGCACATTCCTGGCGAACTCTAACCCCACTCTCCAGTGGCAACCTCATGCGTGTGTGTGTGTATACTGTACTATTAATAAAGATGTACTGCATACCTCACTGCCTCAGCTGTTAGAGGACGTAGAAGCAGCGTATGGCATAATCTATGCCAGGGAATTCAGAGCCAGGAAGAAAGACAAAGCTAAGACATTAGGTAACTAATTAATTTTCTGAGAAGGATTCCTGTTAGGAGAGGGCATCAGTGAGCCTTGAAGAATACTTAGCATTTAGCTAAACAGAAGAGACCATTTTGGGAAGAGAAGTGTGAGTAAAAGCACAGAGCTAGACACAAAACGTTGTCCTGGGGAGAGTGGTGAGGAGAATATAGAGGTTAAGTTGGAGTTTGCAACCGTTTAGCTGTTTTCTTGATTTAATTTTTCTGGTAGTTCTATAACTCTAGATAATAACCTTATATATTTATTACTTGCCAACTTTAAGTAAAATATATTGACTCTTGGATATGAAGAATGTTTTGCTTATTTATACCACACTCCTCCTTCCTGTTCCCCTTAGTATTTGTGTTAATATTTTTCACAGAGTTTTTCTCTCTTGGTTCTATTTGTAGTTGTAAATAGTACCTATGTTGTTTGTGGTTCATATATTCCCCAAGATATATGAAATTTAACATTCAACATCAAATAGACTCAGGTTGTTGAACAGAAGGAGGAAAAAATTTGAATATGGTACATTTAAATCCTGAGACAACAGAAAAAGAATTTATACTACTTTTGAAATGAGCAGTAACATCTTTTTCTTTTTTAGGTTGAGCAAGTGAAATTACTTGACCGATTCAGTACCAGCAACAAGTCATTAACAGGAACACTGTATCTTACGGCCACACATCTATTATTTATAGACTCTCACCAGAAAGAAACCTGGGTAAGGAGGACCTCTGCTGTACTGTTTACCATAATTATAATAATGGATCTGTTCTATTGCTGTGTTTTATTTTGAATGTGTACAAAAAAGTTTAATCATTGGTTACCTATCTCAACCCAAAATTTTTCGAAGTCACCCGATCACTTCTACCCTTCCTCCTAATAAAACAATAATGTTCTGTGAAATGTGGAATTCTTTTGTAGAATACCAGATTCTTTTTATCTGCATGAATAATTATAAAATATCTACTTGTGCCTTCTGGTTTTAAAAAATCTAAATAATATTTGTGCATGTTAACAGATCAAATGCCATATTCCACGGTATTTTTATACCAAATTGCAATTAGCGTGTTTAATTGGTTTTCTTTTTTTTTGTTAGTACAAACAATGTGGTAATGGATATTTTGTATATGTTTCTTCCTGTATATGTGCCAGAGTTTCTCTGCCATATTTGCCTGAGAGTAGAATTATTGAGTCTTAGATAAGTGCATATTCAACCTTACTAAGTATGTCACTTCTCCAAAATGATTGTTTCAAAATATTCTCAGTAGAATATGACATATGTTCTCCACTCTTAGCGACACTGATATTGTCAACTTTAAATTTTTTGTTTATCTAGTGGATGTGCAATTGTGATTTTAATTTGCCAATTACAAGGAAGTTATCCTTTCAGCTATCTTGGCCTTCAGATTTCCTTTTCTTTTTCTGTTGGGTGGTTTTTCCTTTTATTGATTTTATATGAGTTCTGGTTTTTAATATTTTATCAGGTATGTGTGTTGTAGATAACTTCTCCTGGGGTGTGGCTTGTCTTGTGTGTATATATGTCTTTTAATTCAAGTTTAAAATTTTAGTGTAATAGATTTTTCATTTTTTCTTTTATAGTTTACGCTGTTTTGTGACTTGTATAAGGAATCCTTCTTTATGTCAAAGTCATAAAGATTTTCCTATATTTTCTCCCAAAAGTTTATGTTTTGTATTCCAAGTATCAGGTTTTAATATATCTGGGAAATATTTTGGTGGATGGTATGATGTAGCGATTCATTTTTTTTTCATATGGATAACTGGCACCATTCACTGACTGTTTCGTTGCACTGATGTGTAGTATCAACTCCGTCATACATAAAGCTTCCATGTATGTGAGGGTCTGCTTTTGAGCTCTCTATTCTGTTCTTTTGGCATATTGATTACACTGTACCAATAGCATACTGCTTTATTGACTGTAGCTTTTTTTGTGTGTGTGTGTGAGGAAGGTCAGACCTGAGCTAACATCTGCCAATCCTCCTCTTTTTGCTGAGGAAGACTGGCTCTGGGCTAGCATCCATGCCCGTCTTCCTCCACTTTATATGGGACGCCGCCACAGCATGGCTAGACAAGTGGTGCATCGGTGTGCGCCTGGGATCCAAACCCCCGGGGCTGCCGCAGCGGAGCACGTGCACTTAACTGCTACGCCACCAGGCCAGCCCCGACTGTAGTTTTTTCATAAGTCTTGGTATCTATCAGGGCAAATCCTCTTGACTTGTTCTTCAAATTTGCCATGGGTGTTTTGGGACCTTTGTTCTTCCCCTTATTTTTTAGCATTGATTAATTTATTCATTCATTCATTTAGCAAACATTAATGAGTATCTACTGTGTGTTTTTTATCACTATTCTAAGTATTTTGGAAACAATAGTCAATAAAATATAAAAATTCTATTCTCATGGAGTCCACATTCTGGTGGAGAGAGATAGACAATCAATAGGATAAATAAGTAAAATACACAGTGATGAAGGCTGAGCAGAAAGAGGAGATAGAATGTGGGATTTGTGTGTCCTGTACTTGAAGGGTTGGGTTGAAATTTTAGACAGGGTGGCCAGGAAAGTCCCTCACTGGGGACATTTGAGTTAGACTTGAAGAGGTTGAGGGGTGAGCCCTGTGGATACTGGGGGACACTGCTTCAAGAAGAGAGAACAGCAAGTGCAAGCCCCCATGGTGGGAATATCCTGGTTTGTTAATGGAGATGAGACTAGTGGAGTGGAGGGGAGAGTAATAGGGAATGAGAGGAAATGAAATTAGAAATGTAATGGTGTATTGTGTGTGTGTATCCTTAAGTTCCACCAAAACTCTATTAGGATTTTGATTGGAAATTATGTTGAATTTATGAATTAACTTGAGGAGAATTGACATCTTGACAAAATTGAGATTTCTATCCTTGAACCATGGTATAGCTCTCTACTTACATCTTCATTAATATCTTTCAATAAAGTATTATACTTGCCACTGTAAAGGTAATGCTCATCTTTTGTTAGGCATATCCATAGGTATCCTAAATTTTTTGTTGCAGCTAAAGATGACCTTAAATTGCATTTTAAAAACTTTTGCTTTACTATAGAAAGACATTTTATTTTTGTTTATTGATTTTATACCTAGCAACTTTACTGAACTTCATTTTTCTAGGTTCTCTTGGGTATTATACATGCTTCAATCATTTTTGCTGTCAAGACAGTCTTTTTGTTTCTTCTTTTCCAATCTTTATACCTTTCATTTCTTTTTCTTCTTCTGCCATGCAGAGTAGGACTACCAATGTAATATTGAATAGAAGGTATTATATCATACATTCTTGTCTTCATGATTTTAAAAGGAATCCTTCTAATGTTTCATCATTAAGGGTGACGATTGCTGTAGGATTTGGTTTTTGGTAACTATCTTTTAATAGAAGTTCCCTTCTGTCCCTAATATACCAGTGGTGTGTCAAGTGCTTTACATGTATTAAGTCATTTTTTCCTTACAATAACCATATAAAGTCATTCACTATTATCCCTCTTATTATCCTCATTTCACATGTAGTAGTAATCTGAGGCCTAAAGAGGTTGACATTACACATCTGTTAAATACGATGGAGCCAGGGCTCAGGCTGACTTGCTCCAGGCCTTAGGCTCTTTACACAATTCCTTAACTTCTCTTGCTGTAAGAAGATGAGGGAGACTTGAGCATGTTTCTCTGCCACTGATGATTCCAAGTTTTTTAACCTCCATTTTATAGATGAAGAAATTGAAGCTCAAAGAGGTAGTGATTTGTTCCATGTCACACAGGCAGCGCAGAGTAGTAAGGTGAGCTTAGGCTTTCCCCACAGGCAGCTTTGAGTTCAAATACTAGCTCTGCTGCTTGCTGATTGGGTGCTTTCTGCTGTAAGTGAAAGAATATATGACTGAAAATAGTGTCAAACCTCCCGAAAGAGAAGTGGGTGGGCTTACCTTAGTACCTCCGTCACCTTTTATCAGGGAGGAAAAGCCTTCCCAGATGGCCCAGTGGACTTTCCCTAACATCTGGTTGTTGAGAATGGGACACTTGCAACTCCTACCTGCATAGAAGGCATTTTTGGTCTCTTGTGGGAGATGGGTGTTAACAAGGTGGAGAAGAAAGGCAGACCAAGAGTGTCTGCCAAAGAGTGTGTAACTTTCAAGTCCTAGCACCTCCAGAATATGGGTATAGCATCACTCATCGTGTAGGGCTTTTGGGAATCTTAAATAAGATAAAATATGAAAAGCGCCTGTACCTATAGCATAATAGTACCTCCGTAAATCGTAGCTGCTCTTAGTATTTTTCTAAGCAGAAAATCAAGACGAGAGCTCAGTTCTGACTCCCAGTCCAGGGAGTCATATTGCACTTTTGTGTCATATTGTGCTTTTTCCTTGTGGATCATGCTGCATTTTTCTCTTCTCTCTTTGTACTTTTTTTTATTTCCCCAGGAAGGCCATCCTATTGATATGCAGTTGCAATAAGTAAGTTAAGAAACTTACACGAGATGTTGATCTTGGAGAGGTTGTGTTCCCTAGAGTCATCTCTTCCCCATCCAGTGTTTGTCCAGGAACTGCCAGGAGGCAGGGCCTTGTAAAATCATTAGTCATGTTATCATCCATTCTATCTACCCTTTCTTTGTCCACCAGCCTTAATATCTTCTCTGTGTGTTATCCATCTCCTAGAGATACAAATGAAAGTTTCCTATATAGCTATTCTTTCAGATGTTGGGAATGTAGTTTTAGGGGCAGTTAAAAGATGTTGTTCTCTTCTTTCCTATTGTTGTCTTTTAAATGCTTTCTTATAAACACATTTCCATATGTCTCTCCTGAATGAAGTCTGTTTAGTACACTAGATCCATAAAAATGAACATTTTAGATCTAGAAGGGGCCTTACTAACTTTTTATCCTTTTTTCATTTTACAGATGATTATTTTTCAAGATCACATAACTAGTTACTGGCAGAGCCAGGTCCCTTCATCATTCTCTTCCTGCAAATAATTTTGGATCTTAATTGGAATCAAAATAGTGATATAATATTATAGTAGCTTATTGTCATTGTCCCTTATTCTCTATTTAGATGTTAGTATTAGATCATTTTAAGTAACTTGGCACAGGTCTGCTATGTGTAGTGTGTGTTAATTATCTGTGCTATATGTACTTTTAATTTCCACAGGACAAGTAATTCTCTCACTAGTCTTCTTTTTCAAGCTTTTGTTGATTATTTTATGCGTTTAATCTTGCAGGTGAACTTTAGACTTACATATTTAATACAATTAATAGTATTAGCATATAATATTATAATTATATAATACATGTGTATGATATAAATAATCAGCCATCAGACTGGCCCCGTGGCTTAGCGGTTAAGTGTGCGCGCTACGCTACTGGTGGCCCGGGTTCGGATCCCGGGTGCGCACCGATGCACTGCTTCTCCAGCCATGCTGAGGCTGCGTCCCACATTATAGCAACTAGAAAGATGTGCAACTATGACATACAGCTATCTACTGGGGCTTTGGGGGAAAAAAAGGAGGAGGACTGGCAATAGATGTTAGCTCAGTGCCGGTCTTCCTCAGCAAAAAGAGGAGGATTAGCACGGATGTTAGCTCAGGGCTGATCTTCCTCACACACACA